ATGATCCCCATCCCAAACCCACCACCCCAGCCCCCCCCCCTTCCGCCCCTTTTAAATGTGTAGTTATTATACAATGTGAGCCTTAGGGTCTATTTTGTTTAACTTATTTTTCAATTTATTGCTTATTCTTATTAAAATCACATCAGATTGAATTAAGTGAAGTGAGATCAGAAATAGTGATTAAGTTTAATTTTATCATATCAGACATTCAAAAAATCATATCGAACCAGATAGATCAAGCGAACATAACGCAACCTTAAACGTGAAGAGAAGTTGAGTCCATAGAATGAATACAATGCTCTTTGAATTAGCATTCATATTTAAAAGAGTGTTTTAGAGAATATTTGAAATGTTCTTTAATATCATAAATAATTGAATGGAAGTGACATAGCATTACCAATGAGTCCCCCGAGAAGTTCTCCCTAGTGTTCTAGGGTTCTTTCATTTGTCTCCCTAGCTGTTCTAGGGTTCTACTCGCCAATTCTTCTCTCGAATTGTGCTCTCATGGAAGGCGGCGATGTTGATGGTTTGAATCAGCGGGTGTCTGGGCTAGATCTGGATGACGAGGCGGAGGGGCTCTCTTTTTTACCGGAGGGCGGGGCTCCTGTGCCGGCGGTAGAGTTCCGAACTTGGACAATTGCGGGTCGGTTTCTCTCCAATAAGGTAATTAAATTTGATATTATGCAACGGGTTATGGCAGCGGCTTGGAAGCCGGCTATGGGAGTTCGAATTGTCCAGGAGGGAGAGGTGTTCTTGTTTCACTTCTATCATGTTAAGGACGCGACCCGAATCATCGAGGAGGGTCCGTGGTCTTTTGATAATGCTACATTGGTCTGTAAACTCCTTGACGAAGGGGAGAAGGTTTTGGCTACTGATCTGAATTGTGCAGAGATGTGGGTTCAAGTACATAATTTGCCCTTTGGTTATTCATCCCCGGCTATTTTAAAAGCTATTGGTAATTTTGTGGGTGGGTTTGTGAAGAATGATGTCAGTCCTATTCCTCAGACCCAGAGGCCCTATTTTAGAGTTCGGGTGGCGGTGGATGTGCGAAAGCCACTTTGGCGTAAGATGAAGCTCACGAAAAGAGATGGGTCGGTTGTTTGGGTTCAATTCCAGTACGAACGTCTCAATACCTTTTGCTTCTTTTGCGGCGTCATGGGACATCTTGCAAAGCATTGTAGAGGGGCAGTTCTGTCTTCTTTGGAACCAGAGGATTACCCGTTTGACGCGTCCCTAAGGGCTGGTGGAAGGAAAAAGGAGTCTGGTCTTGGTTTGCCGTGGCTTCGGTTTCAGGACCCTTGGGAGGGGTGTGGGGAGCAGGTTGGAACCTCTTCACTTGTGCAAAAAGTTATACCGGAGGAGGAGGTAGAACTTGAAGTTGTGGCAAAGAGGAAGAGGGGTACGGAGGGTGGTACTATGTTGGGAAGAGACTTGGATATCACTATGATGGATGGTTCAAAAAACTTGCAAACGGCGGGTTCTGGCTTCCAGGCCCGCCGTGGACAATGAGTATCCTAAGTTGGAACTGCCGTGGGTTGGGCAACCGGCGGACAGTTCAGGAGTTGGCAGACCTTGTGTCTGCAAAGAAGCCCGACTTTATTCTTCTTTTGGAAACTAAAGGTGCGAGAGGACATGCAGAAGAGTTGAAGGTCAAGATTGGTTTTGAGGGGCTCTTTGTTGTGGACAGTGTCGGGTTGAGTGGTGGGCTGGCGCTTCTATGGAAGGAGAATCGTACGGCTAATCTCATTAGCTACTCTAGATATCATATTGATATTGTTGTTTCTCTTCAGAATGTTGTACCTTGGAGATTCACTGGATTTTATGGTAACCCTAAAAGGGATCAGCGTGGCAGCTCTTGGGATCTTCTTCGGTCTCTTAAACATCATTCCTCGTTACCTTGGGCTGTTATGAGTGACTTTAATGATCTGTGTTCGGTTAGAGAGGAGAAGGGGGGCTGCCCTCATCCGATTTCGCTTATATCAGGGTTCAATCAAGCTCTTGAGGATTGCGGTCTTTTCGATTTAGGGATGATTGGTTATCCATTCACTTGGGAACGAGGTCGTGGTTCGCATAACTGGGTTGAGGAACGACTTGATCGTGTCGTGGTCTCTGGGGCGTGGAGGGATTTGTTTACACAAGCATGTGTGTTCAACAACTTCATGAGAACTTCTGATCATGCAGCGTTACATTTATGTCTTGACCGTGCAATTCGGGTGCACAGGGCTAGGAGATTTCGGTTTGAAAATGCTTGGATGCGTGATACTGGTTTTAAGGATGTCCTGACAGAGGCTTGTCGTGATTCGACTGGGGAGCCTTTCTCAGATAGACTGGCTGCTTGTGGGAAGAGACTGATGTGCTGGGGAGGGGATAAATTCCAACATTTTGGTAAAAGGCGTAAAGAACTAGAAAAACTGATTGGTGGTATCAGGGGGAAGCGTGATGACCAGAGTCTTTTAGCTCTTAATTATGCTGAAAAGGAGCTTGCATGTTTAAGGGACCAAGAGGATCTATATTGGCGACAAAGGGCGAAGCAACACTGGCTTAATTCTGGTGATGCTAATACCCGGTTTTTTCACCAATATGCGTCTCACTGAAAGCGAAAGAACTTTATTCATGGGCTTAAGGGTTCGGATGGAGTCTGGCATGCTGGGAATTCCTTAAAAGCTTTGATTACAAAATATTTTAAGGACATCTTTACGTCTAAGGGGGTTGCTGACTCCTCGTTTTTTGACTCCATTGTCCCACGGGTTTCGAGAGAACAAAATGAAGGGTTGCTGGCTCAGTTTGGTGAGGAGGAAGTTAAGCAGACTATTTTTTCTATGCACCCGGACAAAGCGCCTGGGCCTGATGGGATGAATCCTGCTTTTTTTCAGAAAAATTGGGGAGTGGTGGGCCAGGACCTGACAAGGGCTGTTCTGGAGTGTATTCGTCAAGTTTCATTCCCTCCGGGAATGAATGATGCCACGCTGGTCCTTATTCCAAAGAAACAGGCGCCACAGGTTGTGGGCGATCTCCGTCCCATTGCGTTATGCAATATCACATATAAGGTTGTGGCAAAAATGTTGGCAAACCGGTTGAAACCTATACTCCAGCAAATCATTTCTGAAAGTCAGTCCGCTTTCCTTCCGGGCCGTCTCATCTCAGATAATATTTTGTTGGCGGCCGAGATGGGGCATTTTCTGCGTAGGAAGAGGACAGGCTTGACGGGTTGGGTGGGCTTGAAGTTGGATATGGCTAAAGCTTATGATTGTATGGAGTGGCCATTTCTGCGAACTATGATGGGAAAACTTGGCTTTGATGAGGAATGGATCAACCTAGTTATGTTATGCGTCTCCACCGTTCGATATCAGGTGCTTATTAATGGTGATCTTTCAGAACCGATCCTTCCTACGAGGGGACT